TCTACAAGGTCGTTTCTGTGTCTCTCCCGTCTCCCAGCAAATGACCGCTCCGACAAATTGGTGAACGCCGACGTGATCGGAACGGCACCGAAGTGGATCAGGACRGCGGACACGCAGGTCGTGGTGCCGGGAGGCCACGGCTGGGGGACGTAAAACGTCAGGCCTGAAGAGTTCGGGACGGCAAAAGTGCCAGGATGGCACCGTGCCCTSAGTTCTTTACAGGAAGACTCAGCTGACAGGTTGTAAGGAGTTCGGGTCTCTGGATTGGGAGATGTCAGAAGTGCCAGMGGGATTTACCRGTACCGTGACCCAGGTGCCTCAGAAGGAAGCATTYGGCTGACAATGCCGCCGCAGGAGCCTTGGTGGAGATTGCTGCAGCRCATTGGTATTACTATGGAAAGACAAGCGGCTCAATTACTTACATGCTTTTTGGAAAAGCGACAGGTTAGGGGATTAGATCTCCATAAGGAGATCCCAGAGTTGATAAATTATGCATACAATCAGGGTTGTTTTAGAGATCTGGCTACCGTATTTAAAGTAGCCGAGTGGAGAAGATTCTCCGATAAAATTTGGGACGCTTTATCGGGTGATGATGGGACAGCAGTAAGGATGGGGAAATTGTATACGATAGTTATGGGCGAAATATTTAGATATCAAGCAGAAAGAAAAGTGGCCCAGCAAATTAATGTCGCACAAGAGGGAAACTTAAAATCCAATTTAAATTATTCCGGCTGTCCTCTACCCCCTACCGCGTGCTCCGTTAGGCTGTCGCCCTCCGCGATCCCAGAGTCTAGTGGGCCTAACCCCGTACCTGGGAATATGGGGCCTACACGGCCATCCACTCCATCAGTGCTGCGGTCGTCCACACCGCCGCCACCGCCACCGCTATACAGCCGCCATGTTGCTCTAGTAGCGAGGCAGGAAGCGGCCCGGCAGAGGTCACTTCGCAAGGTGGCCGGGGAAGCCCTGGGCCGGAAGGTGACTCGGCTACTGCTGTTACCCGGAAGAGAAGGGACATGTGGGCTTCTGTTGTGCAAGAGTGCGTACGCTGCAGAGACGCAGAGGGCCTAGAAGTGGTGAAAGATCTTGCGTGCCCAGTAGTGTTTAATCCAACGCTGCAAGGTGAAATAGATGCAACTATTACTGCTCTGGATTGGAAAATCTTATAGCAGCTTCGCACTACAGTCAGTCAATACRGAGTCACTAGCGAACCAGTTAAACAGATGCTAGACCACCTATGGGGGACACGGCTTCTGTTGCTGGCAGATTGTAAAGGTATTTCCAAACTTATTTTTACACAGCATCAGCAGCTTTTGTTTAATGCGCATTGGCAAGCCTTAAGCCAACAGTGTGTT